CGGCACACGTGTCGCACGCGGTGGCCGAGGAGCAGGTGGCACATGTGGCCGCGCAGGCGGTGCACACGTCGGCCACCGGGAAGGTGCCCATCGGGCAGCCCCCGACACATGTGCCCGCATGCAGGAAGGCCCCCTCCGAGCAGGCAAGGCAGACGGTGGCCGAGCTGCAGGCGAGGCAGCCCTTGCCGCACGCCTGGCAGGCCAGCGGCCCGGCGAAGAAGCCCGCCGGGCAGTCGGCCACACAGTGGCCCTCGTGCAGGAGGTGCCCGTCCTGGCAGCCGGTGCAGCCGGCCCCGGCGTCGCAGGTGCTGCACCCGGCCGGGCAAGATCGGAAGAGCGTCGTGTGCAGGCGAGGCAGCCCTTGCCGCACGCCTGGCAGGCCAGCGGCCCGGCGAAGAAGCCCGCCGGGCAGTCGGCCACACAGTGGCCCTCGTGCAGGAGGTGCCCGTCCTGGCAGCCGGTGCAGCCGGCCCCGGCGTCGCAGGTGCTGCACCCGGCCGGGCAGGCAGCACACTGGCCGTCCGCCGGCCGCGTGCCCGGGGGACATGCCAACAGGCAGGCCCCCTGGTGAAGGAGGCGGCCCGCCTTGCAGGACTGGCATGCCGATGGAAGGGAGCAGGCAGTACACTCATCCGGGCAGGGGGAACATGCGCGGTCACCAGTCACGTATGTCCCCTCGGGGCACTGCGCAAGGCAGGCGCCCTGGTGCAGGTAATACCCGAAAGTGCAAGTGGAGCACATCCCGTCCCAGAGGCACTTGCTGCAGGTCGCCGGGCAGGCATGGCAGGAAGACGTCCCGGGGTAGGTGCCATCCGGGCAGGAGGACCAGCAGGCGTCCTGGTAGAGCCAGTGGCCGGAGGAGCACTCGGTGCACTGGGAGGCCGAGGTGCACCGGCTGCAGGTGCCCGGACATTCGGCGCATGCGGTGGCCCCGGGGAAGGTCCCCGAGGGGCAGGGATCGACGCAGGCCCCATTGTGCAGGCGGAAGGCGCCGATGCATGCGGTGCAGGCACTGGCCGAGGAGCAGGTCGAACAGCCCCCCGGGCAGGGCATGCATTGGTCGCCCTGCTGGAAGGTGGACACCGGGCAGCTGCCGACGCAGGTCCCCTGCGGGGTCAGCAGGAAGCCCGGCATGCAGGCGGCGCACCGGCTGGCGTCTTGGCAAGTGCGGCAGTCCCCCTGGCACGCGGCGCAGGCGGCCCCATTGGGGAAGGTCCCGGCCGGGCAGGAGCTGGTGCAGGCGCCATTGACCAGCTCCAGGCCGGTGGCGCAGCCGGTGCAGGCCGCCGGCCCGGTGCACCCGGTGCAGGTCGCCGGGCAGGCGACACACTCCCCGGCGTCGGGGTAGGTGGCCGCCGGGCAGGCAGAGAGACACTGGCCCTGGTGCAGGTGATTGCCGGCGGGGCAGCTATCGCAGGCGCTGGCCGAGCTGCAGGAGGCACAGCTGGGCATGCATGCCTGGCAGTTGGCGCCCGAGATGAATGTCCCGGTGGGGCAGCTGGAGGAGCAGGTGGTACCATGCATGTAGAGGGAAGGCAGGCACTGGGTGCAGTGGGTGTCACTTTGGCAGGCCGCGCAGCCCCCCGGGCAGGGCATGCATCGGCCATTGGCCGGGTAGAAGCCGTTGGAGCAGCCCTGCACACAGGCGCCCTCGTGCAGGAAGAGGCCCGACAGGCAGGCGTCGCACCGCGACGCCGAGGTACATACATCACAGCCGCCGGAGCATGACAGACAGTGGGTGCCGCTGGGGAAGAAGCCCGATGGGCAGTCAGGGCGGCAGGCATTCTCGTGGAGCAGGAGCCCCGACTGGCAGGCGGTGCAGGCATACGAGGCGGAGCAGGTGGTGCACCCGGACGAGCAGGCGTCACACGCCCCGTGCGAGGGGAAGAACCCCGGCGGGCAGGCGGCCGTGCAGGCGCCATCGTGCACGACATACTGGCCGCCGCAGGCGGTGCACCGGCTGCCGGAGGTGCAGATGGTGCAATGGTCCGAGCAGGCGGCGCAGGTCCCATTGTCGATGAAGGTCCCGGTCGGGCAGTGCGACACGCAGGCCCCGCCACTGAGGTAGGTGCCATTGGCGCAGGCGTCGCACTGGCTGGCACTGGTGCAGGAGCCGCAATTGTGGGAGCAAGCCTTGCAGACGCGGTTGTCCGCGAAGAAGCCCGCCCGGCAGGTGGTCACACAGGCGCCATTGTCCAGGAGGGTACTCGAGGTGCAGGCGGTGCAGCTGCTGGTCGAGGTGCATGTCAGGCAATCGGGCGAGCAGGGTTGGCATTTTTGCCCGGCCGGGAAGGTGGCGCTCGGGCAGGTGGCCCAGCAGCTGCCCTGGTAGAGGTATGTGCCATTGTCACAGCCGGTGCACATATGCTCCGACAGGCAGGAGGTACAGCCGGCCGGGCAGGCCGCACACCGGGTCCCGGAGACATAGGTCCACGAGGGGCAGGACCCGACGCAGGTGTTCGCATGGAGGTAAAAGCCGGAGCGGCATGTGGAGCATTGGTCGGAGGCGGTGCACATTGTGCAGTCGGTCGGGCAGCTTTTGCACTCGCTGCCCGAGACGAAGGTCCCCTCCGGGCAGCTGGGCACGCACTGGCCGCCATACACGAACCAGCCGGTGGCGCATCCATTGCATGTGGTGGCCGACTGGCAGTACTGGCAGTTCGCGAGGCAGGGCATGCAGGTGCCCTGCGCGAGGAATGTCCCCGGGGGACAGGCCGGCACGCAGTTGCCCGCATAGAGGACTCGGCCGCCGGCACAGGAGGTGCATTGGTCGGAGTTGGGGCCGGTGCACGCGGCACAGCCCTCCTGCGGGCAGCCGGCGCATGTGCCCGCCGAGTGGCCATACTGTCCCGGGGGGCAGGATGCGACACACGTGCCGTTGGTCAGATAGTAGGGGCTCCGGCATTGGGTGCACACCTTCTGCCCGGTGCATGCATTGCAGTTGGCCGGACAGGGCTCGCAGGAGGGGCCGCCGGTGGGGCTGACGTAGCCCGCCGGGCAGGCCCCCGGGTGGCACAGCCCGCCGGCCAGATAGGACCCGGCGCTGCACTCGGTGCACTCCAGCCCCAGGCTCGGGCGCGAGTGGCAAGTGTCGCACGAGCCCAGGATGCTCGGGCAGGGGAGGCAGCGGTTGTCCCTGTCCGAGGGGCTGAAGGTTGTGGCCGGGCAGGCGGCCAAACACCTGCCGGTAGCCGGGATCAGCAGCTCGTGACTGAGGCACTCGGTGCAGCCGGCGCCGGTGTCACATAGGAGACACGCCGCCGGGCAGGGCACGCAGCCGCTGGGCTGGGAAAACTCGCCGGGCTGGCAGGAGCCCGCGGCGCAAGCCAACCCGCCAGAAGGGTGATACCCCGGGATGCAGGTCACACAGAGCCCGGTGCCTGACTCGCATGCCTCGCAGTTCGCGCCGCAGGGGAGACACTGGATGTTATTGGCATCCGGGTAGTAGCCCGGCGGGCAGGAGGGTCGACACTCGTTGTTGTGCAGCAGGAAGCCCGACTGGCAGCGGGTGCACCTGCTGGCGAAGGGGCAGGACGCGCAGTCAGCCGTGCAGATCGGCATCGGACCCGAGGAGGCGATGGCCAGGGGGCCGGGCTGCGGCGCGGCCGGGCGCGGGGCCGAGCCCGCCGACGCATCGGCGGTGATCGGCAAAGCGGCCACCCGTGCGAGGGGCGCGGCCAGCAGAGCCAGCAGCAGCGCCAGCGACACCGCCAGGAGCAGCAAGCGCCGCTGCCGCGAGGGGGCGCCAGGCATGCTTGCGCGGGACCGGGGCGGGGGAAGGGGGAAGGGGGAAGGGCGGAGGAGGAGGAGGCTAGGCGAGGGTAGCCCTCCCGGGCGTCGGGCCCCGGGCTGGTGGGATGCC